TAGCCACTCTCTTAGGTGCTGGAAATTTAATATGTAGCTGGATTGAATCGGTAGCTGGCAGATGGTTGTTAATATTTCCTTGCCTCTCTCTGTTGAGATTTCTAAACTCTTTTGCCTGAGTCAGTCATTGAGCTGTTAGAAACAGATAGGTGTTGTGATTAAGCTCTTTATAAAACTGATTTAAATCCCTTAAAGCTTGTTGCAGAGCTATAACTTACTATTTTGCTGCTGTGGAAATTAGCACTATATTTTAAAGTGCACATATTTTTTATCTCCTTTTTTCTAAGATACATCAGCAATGGCCTATGGACCAAATTCTAGTCTTTGGTGGTTACGTACCATAGAGTCGATTCCGACTCATAGCGACCCTGTACAGGGTTTTCAGATCTTTACAGGAGCAGAAAGCTTCCTCTTCCTCCTGCGGGATAGCTGGTAGTTTCAAACTGATGCCCCTGAGGATCGCAGCCCAATTCATAACCACTACGCTACCAAAGCTCCTTATAACTGCTCCTTGTTGTTATGTGCTGTGGAGTTGGTTCTGACTCATAGCAAACCCTGTACAGGCTTTCCGATAACTGCTTCTTAGGGTTCCCAAAATGGTATGGTATATATCTTCACAGGAGCAGATAGCCTTATCTTTCACCTGAGGAGTGGTTGGTAACTTTGAACTATCAGCCTTGTGGTTAGCTGACCAGTGCTTAACCCGTGACACTACCAGGGTTCCATTCTATCTTGTTGAATCATTTCCTACTCATAGTGACTCTGTATAGAGTTTATGAGGAACCCTTGTGGGTTTGAACCACCAACTTTGCTATTAGCAGTCCTACAGCCCCACTCCAGAACTCCTTACTCCTTAAATTCCAGCCTTCCCTTGCAACTCATTTTTTTCAGAATCCATAGCAGTTGTGTTTTAGGGTGCCCTACAATCTAAACTTAACTTGTTTCCTCATTGTTGCTATCTGCTGCCAGGTCTATCTCATGTTAAGCCCATGTACAGTGTTTCATAACTGCCTAGTCCCGTGCCATCCCCATGATCACTTGGGGATCAGACTGCTGTGATCTGTACTTTTTATTGACTGATTCTAGAAGGTTGATTAGTAGGACTTTTCTTCCTAGTCCATCTTAGTATGTAAGTTCTGCTGAAACCTATTCACTTACAGCAAAACACAAGCCTCCACTGACAGAGGGGTGGTGACTGAGCATGAGGTACCTTTGGCTGAGAATTGAACCCTGTTTTTCCATATGAAAGATGAGGTCTCCCAGTGAACCACTAATGCCTTTCAACTAATAGAATCGGTAATGTGAACTTCTGATCATGGGGAAGGGGTGGGGTGGGTAGTAAAAAAGTACTGCTACCCAAAAGGAGAGGAGTGATTGACTTTGCAGTCTAGGAGCACAGGTCCCTGGGAACATCAAGGGAGAAGAGCGGAGAGTGGGACCCTACCCAGAGAAGCAGTGATGCCTGAGAAAAAGGCATAGACGATGATGTGGAGAGATGGAGCAGCTGCTGGGGACTTTAGACCCAGAGAGGGAGAAGGGCTGTGTGCTAATGACCGGCGGGGGGGCGGTGTGCAGGCTTGCAGGGTATACACTTTGGTTGGTTGATGGAGGGGATTGTAACGATGGCAATGACGATATACAATAGGATGAATGTAAAACTAATGTTCTCCCATGTAAATTATCACATAATTCACAATAAAACATTAAAAAAACAAAGTCCTGCTACCAGAAGCCCATTTTACACATGCACGGGTTTATTCCCAACAGCATATTTAAACTTAACAGGCTCACTAGATGCCTGGAAACTAGTTCTCTCAGTAATACACTTATCTCAGTCTCTTTAGGATGCCTTCCCAAGAAAAGGGGAATCAAAGTAGTGCCTTCTAAGGGGTTTTATGGGCCAGTTAAATCCAAGGCAACTCAACAGTAGAAAAGGATCACAGTTTCAGTCCCTCATTACATCCACCCAGAAGCTGCTGAATGGCAGTGCAATGTAGCAGTAAATAGGGTTTGAATTCAGGCCTGTGCTCATATCTCATGGATGTGTTACAGCTGTGATTGGTGATATGTGTCTACTTTTCTTGTGCTGAATTTTCTTATCTGAAAGTGGGAGCTACCTTATATGGTTATAATGATAATCAAAGATTAGTAAGAGTGTGTCAACATATTTTTGGTGTTTGGGGAAATGGCTTAGGCCTGGCCTTTCTTTCCTAGAGTTTCACTGATGGTTACTGTAGTCTTTCTTTCCTTTTTAATAGGGAAGCTTGTCTTTGTTTAGTAGCCCAAGGAGCCCATCTTCACCTTTTGCTGAGGCATTGTTCAGGTTACCAACATTGGGGAAGTTGGATTGAATACAAAGACAAGTGAGATGCATCTGAGCTTGCCCTGGCTCTCCAGAGCTTGACTGTGTCTTTGCATGCAACTGCCTGTCTTCCGGGTATCTTGAAGTCCTTACAAGTCCTTTGCACATTTATTTCGCTGATGACATGGAGAATGTCATTTAAGATGTTGTGGTGAAGTGCTGTTGAGTCAGTTCCGACCCATGGCAACCCTGTATAGGGTTTTCGAGGAGCAGCTGGTTAGCTTGAACCGGCAACCTTGCAGTTCAAAAGGCTTTGCAGTCTGGCGCATTAACCCACAGTGCCACAACAGGACTCAATACTTGACTTACATAAATGAAGACAGCCTTCTGAGGCAGACATGGACTGAACAACTTTGTGGCTTTGTTGTTAAATGCTGTCAAGTCTGTTCCATAGCAACCCTATCCCGTATAGAGTTTCCAAGGAATGACTGGTGGATTTGAACTACCAACCATGCAGATAGCAGTGGAAATCTTATCCTACCCTGCATTCCTACACCAGAACGCCATTGGATTTAGGCGAGTCATTTAAACCTGTGAACCTTAATTTTCTCATGTGAAGTGAGTATGACGATGTCACATAAGGATGTGAAGATTGGGAAATACCTCTGTCCTAAAGGGAAGTGAGCTGGGAACCCAAAATGACCTGCTGATTCATGGGCTCTGCCAACTATGCACTACCAGTCATGGTGTGCTGTTGTAGGGTACACACTGGACTGCTAACCACAAGGTTGGCGGTTCAAACCCACCAGCTGCTCCTTGGAAACCCTATACAGGGTTGCTGTGAATCAGAACCAACCCCATGACACCACCAATAATGGGTGAAGTTGAAGGTTCCTTGGGCTGGACTCTGAAACCAGGTGAGAAAAGGACTTCAGAGATGGGAAGAAAACCTCAGAGGAAAGTGGCAGAGGCTAACAAAAATCACCACTGCTCCTCCCCCTGCCCCTCATCCCTCTTCATGCCTAATCCCAGATACTTCCTGATGAAGGAATTCGGTTCAGTGGACAGTAAAATCAATCTTCAATTGATGATGGGGACCAGAACCAAGCAAGGTTATGGAACGGGATTTTTAAGAGCTGAAGCCAAGGAAAATAAGAAATAAGGCTGGGAGGTACTTTGCCCTGTTTGTCATTAGGTCCAAGGGCTTAGTACAGGACCTGCCACACAACTGGATATGAATAAAGGTTTTGAAGGTGGAGGGGTAGGGGGAAGTGGGCTGAGGATCCAGAGTCAGCAAGTTACTGGGTTAGTGTCTGAGTGACAGGAGAGAGGAAAAGGGGGGTTTGTGTTGTGTGCTTTGGCAGTTCTTGCCCTAGAGCATCTTGCAATTATACTTTGTTGTTTGGGGACATGGGTGTAATTCATTTTCAGATGTTATTAGTAAATCTAAGTGGAATAGGGAACTATCCTACAGAATAGTTAAGTGTCAACCAGTCAGTTCTGACTCATAGCAACCCTGTATAGGGTTTCCTAGGAGTGACTGGAGAGCCTGAACCCCCGATCTTGCTGTCTAGTGCATTATCCCACAGTGCAGGTGATAACAATTTTTTCATTGATAAAGTTTGAGCTATATAATATCTCTGAGATCCCTTTCAGTCCCCAAGTTTTATGATTACAAATGTGCCAGTAAGTGGCATAGACAATCCTCATATGGTGCAATAGAATAAGCACTGGAAAGGCTGTATACTGTTTACCCACCTTGTTATCTGCCGTGGAGTCGGTTCCGACTCATAGTGACCCTGTACAGGAGTAGAAAGCTTAATCTTTCTCCCGTGGAGTAGCTGGTAGTTTTGAACTACTGACCTTGAGGTTTGCAGCTCAATTCGTAACCACTATGCTACCAGAGCGCCTTGTAAAACCTGGTAGTGCTACAAAATCATACCCCCTGGTGGAGACTAATAAATAAGCCGCCTGAGATTTGGCAATTCCTATAAGGACCCAGGGCTTCTTTCCAGCTAGCCAAAAGCATATCCCTTGGGGCCAAAGAGGTCAAGAGCCTTCACACAGTTCTGTGGCCTGCCACACACGACTCATCGTCCTTTCACCCTTCTTTACTTTGTCACTAAAGGGTAGTGGCATTGATTCCATTTTTAAATGTAGAAACAGCCCATGGGAGTATGTTCTCAAGCACAGAGTACTTCTGGAAAGAACGCGGGGTCTGCCTCTGGATCTGGAACCTCTCAGGCCTGTTTCCTTTTGTGGAAAAGCGTTGCCGCCCTTCTAGTCCGGCCGTTTTCCCTGGTTGACCTTTTGAGAGTTCCAGCTGTGGCCGGAGGGTCCTCCGCGGGATGTTGCTAGGAGCGCAAAGCACGGGAGCATACCAAGGCATAGAATTCGCTAGCTGTCAGCGCACTCTCCCGACCTTCCATAATTATCAGTATTTAATTTCGACAAGAGACAGAACTAGACGTCCACACCCGAAGCTCAGACCAACTCCGACTACACTGTCCCCGCTCCAAAACTACCTGGCCCAGTAGAACGGTTGGCACAGCCCCGAAGTGGGCGGGGCCAGGAAGGTCCCGGCGTGGGCGGCCAGCGCCTGCGCGTCATCGTGCTAAAGGCGAGCCATCTTTCTGCCGGGCAATGGCTCCTTGGCTGTGAGGCGGGGCTGCGTGATTCTGTGGGGCGTGGCCAAGCCATGGCGACTGCAGAGCAAACAGCGCGCCCGGCGCGGGCGTCTACCCAAAAACCTGGACCCAAGTGGGCCTCGGACCGCACTGGAGCCGTGTGCCACCCCTCGGGGAGAGGCGGCTGCGGAGTTCCCCGGCAGGGAGAGCGGATCTCTGCGGCCGTAGAGAAGCGGGGCCCGTATATGGTGACGCGCGCGCCCTCCATTCAGGCCAAGCTGCGTGAGTGCGCTGGGGAGGCTGGGCGGGCTGTCGCTCCCCTGGGACCGGCTCCGGGAGCCCCGCTCTCGGGAGGGAGAGGGTTAAATGCAGCCCACTCTCGCCCCCGAAATGCAGTTGGGAGAAAGCAGCCTCCCGGCACTCAGGAGTGGGGAAGACCCCTCTGAGCCAGGGCCCTTTGACTTCCAGAGAAGCACCGGGACCTGGCCAAAGCCATTCTGCGGAGAAAAGGCATGCTGGGGGCCTCGCCGAACTGCCCGGACTCTTCAGGGAAAAGGTCTCCGCAGGCGCCGCCGCCTCTGTGCCCAGCAGTTTTCAGACAGGCCTTAGTCCTCAGGGTGGTAGAGAAAAAGCTCCTGTTAAAGGCCAAACTTGTATTTCCCTGAAGACAGCCTGCCAGATTCACTGCCTTTAAAATGGGACGCCTCCTTAAGGATGTGACAGTGTGAGGAGAGTTTGGAGTAAGGGATGTTCTGTCAGCAGCGTATAGGATCATTCACACGTCTGAGTTAGCGAGCAGCTCAGCGGCCCGGGTCCCCAGAAGTGAAGTGACGATTTTTTTTTTTTTTAACAGAATAGTAAACTGGATAGACCCTTATCCAGTGCCTCCTCTTACAGATAAGAGCGAAAACTCTAGGGATTTATCCAAGGACGTGATGTTTTTCTGTCTTCTAGTTAAAGGGCTTAAAGTCCCCAGGGGATTTTTCCTGACTCCTGCAGGGGGAGTTGTTCCCGTCCCCGGAAAATGGGGGCCGTGAAGTGCAGATTCAGATGAGCAGTAGCCAGATGGGTGGAGCTGCAGGCGGTGGTGGCTGGGTAAGGGGTCCCTGTGAAATGCTGGTGCTTTCTCATCTACCCGTGGTCTCTCCTCCCCTACCTCCCCTCAGCTCAGTGAAGTTTAACAAGGGCTATACCGCCCTCAGCCAGAGTCCTGATGAAAACCTGGTGTCCCTCGACTCAGACAGGTGAGTGCTCTCCTTGGAAATGCCCCCTTGAGGAGTGCCTTGGATCGAACTGCAGATTGCTTGGTGCCTTCCTTTGTTCCCAGTCTCCTCCACGGCCCTTCATGCTTGTCCAGGCCTGTCTCTTCTGACCAGGAGCCCATCCTAGAGTGGCTTGGTTAGAGAACTGCTGGATTTGAAGCACCAAGATGACCTGGAGGAATGTCCTGCCCTGATAGTAGGAGTGGCCCTGTCCCTGCCAGGGCCAAGTGAGGGAGGGAGTCTTTGGTACACCTACAGATTCTGGCCTTGACTTCTGTGGTTTGTGGTCTTTGTTCCACAAATCCTCCACACCCCCTTGCATGTTGTCCGCCTGTTGCAGCTGTTCCACAGGCATCCCCCTGAACTGACTGTCTTCCTCTTCTCCTAGTGATGGGGAGCTGGAATCCAGATACTCCTCCGGGTATTCCTCAGCAGAGGCAAGTTCAAAGCTCCTTTCTGTGTGGGGCCAGGCTGCAGGCCGCATCACCACCACTGCCAGATGCCTGTCAGATGCAGAGCACTGTGCTAGACTTTGGTCTCTTATCCCATCTTCCACTCTGCCCTCTTCCCCCAGCAGAGGTGTAGGTATCTGAGGAGGGCTGTTGAAAGCCCAGAAGACCACAGACTGTCAAAGCAGGAAATTACTTCAGAAGTTTCTAGTCCAGGCCACCTCTTCTTGATAATCCCGGTTATTTACTAGTCTCTGCTTTTCCGGCTGCTTCTGTAATTGCACACTACCTCCAAGCCGCCTCCTTCACATCCCCACCCCCAAGACACATGCACACACACACAGTTCCCTTGGAGAGCTCCTTAGAACAGTCGGATTGATTTAAAATGTCTCCTATGGCAGGCATGGTCCCACTGAGTCTGGTCTAGACCCGGTCTCCAATAGAACACAATAATTTTAGTCTGCTTTCTTTCTATTGTCTTTTTTCTGAGGTTAGCATTCTTGTCACTCCCACCCACCCTCCACCAAGCTTGTTTCCTTCTAAGCCAAACAACTTGTTCCATCTGTGGAACTCTGACTGAACTACTCCTGGGCTGGTTTTGTGGACATGTTTCCAGAATGAACACTCTGATTGTCCTAGACAGGAACACAGGGACATAAAGTTCTGGCATGTGAATTTACTGCCTTTGACAGAGGTAAAGTGCTGGGAACATAACAGTACCATGTTACTTCTTAATTCTTCTGGAAACCCTTGGCAGTTCTGCCAAAGAGAATAAGGGCAGTTTATAAATTTCTGAGTGTGCAAGATGGTTAAAACAAAGAAAAATGAGCTGAGAACACTTTTCCAGCCTCTGTCTGTTCTCTTTGGTGGAACTAGTGAAGCCAGGCTGACAGGTTCCTATTTGCAGGGACCCAGCCCTGCTGACATTGAAGGATAGCTTGTCTAACTGCCAGAGGGAAGCGCTCTCCACCCTGCTCCATTGTAGCTCACATTCCCCTACTCACCCGCCTGTTGTTTTGGTGCCATTGTCCTTCCGCTTTGATAAGAACCAGTCTGGGCACTGACCTTCACCCATCTGGAATCTGACTCCAGGGGGTCAGTATAGTGGAGGCTCCTGGGTGGGTGCCCCTTACTGCTGGGTGAGGCACAGCTGGAAGGTAGCACTTCCTCCTGTAGGATGTCTGGGGTTGGCGGGGTCGGGGGTGGGGGGATATGCAGGTCAAGTGGACAAGAAGTTTTGGTAAAGACAAGGTAGGCCTACCTTTTGGGCAGTAGTAGTTATTTCTGCTTTGCATCCTAGCTTAGGCTCCCTCCTCTCCTTCTGCTCTTAGCAGGTGAACCAGGAGGTGAGCCGGCAGCTGCTCCAGGATGGGTATCACCTGGATGAGATTCCAGATGACGAGGACTTGGACCTTATTCCCCCAAAGCCTATGGCCTCCTCAACATGCTCCTGCTGCTGGTGCTGTCTCGGGGACTCTTCGTCCTGCACCCTCCAGTAGATGTAACCTCAGGCAGATGCCAAAAATGGGCCCTGTTCACCGTGAGGCCTGCAGAACCCTGGTGGCCCTTCACAGTTCAGAGTGCAGTGGGAACTGCTGTTAGCCCAGACTTACTGGGGGCACAGAGGTGGCCCTTACTTCCCAAGTGAGAGGCCCCTACCTGGGCATGGGATCAAAGGGGGAATTCTGCAATTTGGAGACTTGCTGCTGGAGCACTTTGAAGAAACCACCTTAATAACAGCAGAGAATAGAGGGATTTGAGTTCTTATGGTGGGTGACAAAGTAGCTAAAAGAAACACTTGCAGATCCCTTAATCTGTTACTTATCATGCTCTGTTGTTGTTATAGTGACCCTGTGTAGGGTTTCTGAGGAGCAGCTGGTGAGCTTGAACTGCTGACCTTGAGGGTCAAATCTCAAGGTTTGAATGAACCCACAGCAGGACTCCTTTTTCATGCTCTGGTGGTGGTTATGTGCCGTGGAGTTGGTTCCGACTCATAGCAACCCTGTACAGGGTTTCCAAGGCTGTAAATCTTTACGGGAGCAGAATGCCTGCTCTCGTAGCATAGTGGTTACGTAGTGGGCTGCTAACCCCAGGGTCGGTAGTTCGAAACTACCAGCTGTTCTGCGGGAGAAAGATGAGGCTTCCTACTCCCATAAAGATTTGCAGCCTCGGGAACCCTGTGCACAGTCACTATGAGTGGGAATCAACTCCACAGTACTTAACAACCCACTTTTCATGCTCTAGGAGAGGCAGAAAGGTTTTCTGCCAAGGCTGTGCCGGGTGGTGGTATGTGGAGGTAGAAAGTAGCACTTTATGGCATGCAGTTGGGAATCTTTGAAAAAGTATTTGACTATTTAGAATCAGTTCAAGCTATCCTCCCCTCAGCTCCAAGATAGGTTCCTGGATTGACCTCCACAGGGCATGAAAGGAAGGAACCTTTTGCCCCCTTTAGGTTATGCCTGGAACTCTGACCTTAGCAAGTTACTTAATGACACAGCAGGATCTTGGCTTCCAGAATCTCTGGACTTGGTGCCTCCTCTCATTGGTCTGAGTAAGTTTAGTGACTCTGGCCAGCGCTTCCGTAAGAGAAAAACTGCTCTATCACGTATATATTTAATTGTGTTCCTTAGTTACTATTCTCCATCTCAATCTTGGTTCCTTTCTCCACCCAGTCTTTGAACCAAGTGTTGGGAGAGGAGACTGGGGCAGGCCCCAGAAGCCTGAGGTTTTTTGTGGCTATCAGCAGAGGGAACAGCAGGGCGTAGTCTGGTGCCTTCTGTTTAGAGCTTTTTCAGCTGAGTAGCAATGGGCCAGGTATGGGTGCTGATGCAGCTCTGTGTGCTTTGGCCTACACTGAGGCTCAAAGGGCCAGTTCACAAGGGCCCTGCCTGAGACCAGTCTGCCAGTGCAGAGGGCCTCCCCTCACTCCAGCACAGGCCGCTTCTCCTGTTGCCAGCCCTACAGATTCCTCAGACTGGAATGGGTCTAGCTCAGGACTGGGCCTCACAACAACCTGGAGGCAGCAGAGCCTCTTCTACCCCCTAGCTTGAACGTAGCCAATACAAGCCTAGCTTCCAGTGGCCCCACTAGATGGCGTCCCTTGCTATACATGTCCTCTAGAATTGGTTTTTCAATGGTTCCTTTCTTACTTCACCCAGGACTGTGGCTTGAACAGGAATGGGGACAGGGTTCCCAGTCCAAAGAGGCATGGCAGTCAGGACTGGGACCCACCTGGAAAGCATGTGACTGTTGAGAGGCATGAGGCACTTTTCTTAACTCTGTCTATGAGAAAGACTGAGAACGTCAGATAAACAGATGTCTTATTACCATCACACCACTATCCTTGTGAGAGTAATCTCATCATTGTTTGGTTGGCGTCTATCTGTGTACATTTCCCAAACTGTGGACAGTTGAGGGAAATACACAGTATCCAGGGGGCTGCTGCTGACTTCCCATACAAGCTAGGTGCTCTGCAGCTGTAGAGAGATGGACCAGAGCCCAGAGACAGGTCAGGTTGGGTCTGGGAATAGGAAAGGTTACTTTGTTCTGGAATGGGGCTGCAAGCTTGCTAGGTGCTCAGCCTTCTAGGCACTTGGTGCAGATATCTGCAGGAAGGGAGACCATCTCCATCCTGAAGCCCTTTGCCCCTCCAGAGACGAGTCCTGACCCTGTGAGGATAGGATAGGAGTAGGAAAGGAATGCCAAGGGGGCCAGAAGGTGGTGGTGGAAGCCAAGTGTGGAGCCACATCTCTGTGGGGAACCTGGCTGTGAGAAACCTGGGCATTTGGCAGCTACTTGGGCTAAGGGTGACAGCAGGACCCTAAGACCAACAACATTGGTGTTGGCTGCAGCTGTCCCTGCAGAAAATGTCCCAGAGCTGGCTGATCCCATGTGGGAAGCACTTACTGCGTGGGCCTGAGACGGTGGACAGTAGGGCCAGGTGGAATGGTTGGCTCAAAGTACCAACCAAAGCACCAAGGTACCCAGAGTCAAACTGCCTTACTTCAAGGTTCTGGGTGTTCTGCAGGTGAGCATCCCTTGGAGAGAGAAGGGGATATGGGCTCACCTCACAGTACTCTATAGAACTCTGATACACCCTTGTACAGCTCTGTAAGTTTGTGAGAATAAATGCCATCATGCTATAAAAACCGTGTTTCTGTGTTTAAAAGAAAGGACTATATACCTTAGTCACTGCTGCTGCTGAATCCTGAGCTCCTATTACGGTGATTCCTTCTAGAAAGCCCCACATACACTTTCTGCAGCGGTTCTTGATGAATATCCATTTAGGCTTGTTTCATAGGCAATCATGGGCAGAATAGGCCCTTTTACAGATCACTTTTCTCTGTAGACTGGGTGAGGTACTTTTGGCACAACTTTTTTTCCTATCTTCATCTTTGTTGTGTTTTTAAGCTGAAGAAAATATGGAAAACTAAACAAGCCAGAACTTTTTGAAGGTGATTTCCTGGAATTCCATTATAAGGTGACTCAGAAAGATTCATTTGTGTGAGTCCGAATCCTTCCCCCCAAGGAAGGAACCAATGGCCTTGGTCTCCTCTTCTGAGATGACAAGACTGCAGGTCACAAACCTAGCAGCAATACACACAACTGTGAAGCCTCTTGCTGAGGTGTGTCTAATCCCTAAAAAGTGAGTACAGAAACAGTAAACAGCCTCTTGCAACTCAGAAAAGATAGGGCTGTCCTCATGATGCAAAGTGATCATCTTCCCCCAAGCCCCTGTAATCCACAATGTTGGAATGTGCTCTAGAGAAAGGATCGACACTTTTGTTAAAGGGACAGATAGTCAAGTTTCAGCTTTGTAAACCTTTCCATCTCTGGCACAACTACTCAGCTTTACCAGGCTTAGAAGGAGCTAGTTTCAAAATGAGTGGGCAGTAGCCTTGGTGCAGACTGCTCTAGGACTAACTGCAACACCAGAGAACCATCCATGATGACGCCTGTATTGTCTGCAGACCTGTAGGGCCCAAGTCCTACCTGTAAGCTCTCCAAGACTGAAGCTGGCCTCCTCCCTGCTAATATAAAATGACTCCACAGTCTAGCTTGCCTATTCTCAGGGAGCTTTTTGAAGGAAGTAAAAAGCAAAAATGAAACATCTAAGGAGGGCTTTCAGCTCATTTTAGGGCCTAGAATATTAGAGGCTGAGTGTGCTTCACTCCACAACCTCAACATAAGAGATCTTTTAATTGCTTTGACACAGTAAGAGGGTGATGGTGAGCAACATTGGTTCACAGGCCTTCCTGCTCTGCAGCTGAGGAAACAGGTAGTCCTAGAGACAGAACCCTGTGTGTAGATATAAATGCCCTAGTATCTTGCTCTGAGTGATGCTAATATTGCCACTGGTTTCCCAAGGTAGCCTGAAGCTGCATGCTGGAGCCTGATTCAGGTGTGGTGAGGAGTGATGAGAATACAAGGGGAGGGCTAGTCCTTAGGCTTTCTCACCCAAGAGGATAGTTCGGCCTGGGAGTGCTCAAGAGTTATTACCTTCTAGCTTATTCCTCTATGTGATCATTCTCTTCAGATCTTCCAAGGTGCACCTGGTGTCCAGAGCAGGAGAGAGGGCTTAGGCTGAGCCTGAGATGGTGAGGCTGGCCTGGTTTAGGGCAACCGTGGAGGCCTCTACAGCAGGCAGCACGCTCGAAATATCAGAAGATCCTTAGGCACAGAAAGCTTCAGCCAGACATTCTCATTGGCCCCAATGAAGAGCACCCCACCACACTGCAGAGGGAGGGGTGCCTGGGATGTGAGCGTTCTGACTGTGACTGTCCCTTGTACCAACAGGAGGATGCTGGCAGAGTCCAGCGGTGAGACCTTGTATTCAGTGACAGAGCCAGGGACCTGCACAGGAAGAAATAATAAGGTGGTGCAGCAGACTGCTCCTATTAGTCCACAGGGGCCCAGGCCACCCCAAGGGCACCAGGTCAGGGAACTCTACTGCCCTCTCCCCAACTGCTCAGGTTCTTGTCAGCATGGAGACCCAAGCTGGTTTCCTGATAGAGAGGCAGGGTGGCCCTGGGGCAAATTCCTATCCCTTGAATTTGACAAAAAAGAAACCTAGCCCCAGGCTGCTGCTAGCCCAGTGCCTGTGGCCCTTGTCAGGGTTCCTCATGCTACATAATAAGCAGATGCCTACCATGGCCACCCACTCACCTCCATCTTCAAAACAGTGAAGTCTGGCACAGGGGGGTCATAGATGGAGAGGTAAGGGTCTTCCAGACTCCGTGTTGGAGGAAAGAGCCTGTCCTTGCTGGGGCTAGGGGTATAGTTGAGCATTTCACACAGGGTTGGCACATCGATGAACTTGGGTGTCAGGCCAGCACGCACCGTGTTGTCTGAACATGCCATGCACTCCACACAATCTGGGGACAAACAGCATGTGCTAAGAGAGTGAAGTACGCCTTAGAATTTTGGTCTTGGGCTGAGCCTTTTAATCTGAGCTCTGGAAAACTAAAAATGCTGTGTTAATGTACCTTCATTCTGGAAAAAGAGGCCAAGAAAGATGGCAGGATACTAAAACAGGTGACAGGTTACCCACTATAATCGGGGAGATTCATGTTGAGGAGCAGCCTCAACATTCCCCACTCTGTTCTCCCACTTCTACCACAGAATCCTATGTATGAGTGTGTAAGCAGCAAAGTATCAAAATGTGTCATTGTTCTGTGACAACATGCATATTTCAATGTAGAAATCTCTGGGTACATGCGACAGACATGCACAGGCAGTGTGATGCATGGGAAAGGTCACCAAGACAGCCTAGATGCAAACTGTGGTTCCTACACAGATCAGACAGGATTAACAGTGAGCATCATGACCTACCTCATGGGGTTGGTGTGGGGATTTAAGCAGTGTCCAACACCTGGCAATCCGTGTCCTTGTTGGTCATTTCCCTGCTGTCCCCAGGAACTCTAGAAGGTCAGAGCTGGCCAGGACCTTGGAAAAGTTCTCCTCAACCACCCTTTTGTCCATGGGGAAAGGTGTGAAGGGAATGTGGGGCTCACCTCCTTTCAGGTAGGCATGGGGCACATTGGCCTCCAGAAACATGGCCTCCCCTGGCTGCAAGGTAAGCAGGTTCAGGAAGTAGATGGCAAAGCAGCCGATATCCCCTGGATACTGCTGGTGCAGCTCCAGCAAGAGTTCACCACAGATGTCCTCCATATTGTTTCCAGCAGCCACTGAGGGGCACAAAGCATCAGCCGGCCACTTAGAAACAACTCAGTGGTATTCACAGCCTGCCTTGCACTCTGGGTAAGGGGCCCTGCCTACATAGATGCAGGAATCAAGGTGGGCCTGTCCTAGCCACACCCCAGCCCTAGGAGGACCAGCTTTCCATGATATTCCAGGCCACACTAATGCCGTTTCCTCCACCACAACTTGAGTGTTTCTGTGCCCAGCACTGTGCCAAAACCAAGAGAGCCATAATGCAGGATTTCTCAACCTTGGCACTACTGACATTTTGGTCTGGATAATTCTTTATTGCTAGGGGCTGTTCTGTGCATTGTATGATGTTTAGCAGCATCCAGTCTCTACCCACGAGATACCAGTAGCAGTTGTGACAACCAGAAATGTTTCCAGACAATTGCCAAATGTTCCCTAGGCGGCATACTCATCCCTGGGTGAGAACTATACCCCAGGAGCTTAAAATCTAGTTAGGGAGATAACCCATGAGTTCCATATAACTTGGACAAAATAAGTAGTTCCATGTTGCTCAAAGGTGGTAAGACAAAAGTGTAAAGATAGAATCAGAAATGACCTCTGGGGCTTTCTGGAGAAGGAACTGGGCTATCCGGCTAAGGAGCTGAGAGCCTGCATCTGGGCCACACTATCTCAAAGCTGAGAGCTGGTTCTGTCTTCCGTTTCCCACTGCCTGTATTGACTCCCCAACCCAAAGGTGATGGTGACCACACCCATCAGAATCACTTGCTGAACTCTCCTTGTTGTGGTGGTTAAAGTGCCATCGAGTCGATTCCGACCCATAGCAACTCAGTATAGGGTTTCTAAGGAGCAGCTGGTGAGCTTGAACCACTGACCTTGCAGTTCAAAAGACTTTACAGTCTGATGCATTCGCCTACATCGCCACACCAGGACTCCTTAGTTAGCATAAAACTGAATACACAAGAGGTATTCAGGGAATGATCTAATGTTTGAGAACTCTGGTGTCCATCAGGCCTTTGGAGGACAGGGGACATTGCTTTCTAGCCCCCAAGCACAAGTCTATCTATGTGAAGCAGCCACAGGGCTGAGGGAAATCTCAGAATCCCTGGGTGGAAGGCACCCAGACAGTCTTCTAGGTCATTCTATCCCCAACCATCTAGAGATGACCATTAGGAAATGACACTCAACCTAATGCCCTACTCCACAAAGAAAGGGAAAGAAAAGCTAAGTCACCAACAGGCCACTCTGTGTCCTGTTGGGCCCTGCTTAGATAAAAGGCCTTGAGAACTCTGTCCCCATAGCTTACTCCAGGGAGCCCAGGACAGGGCATTGCACCTCTCCCGCCAGGCCTAGAATCACACCCACCTTGCTGGGAGATGCGCTTCACCAACAGGTTGAGCTGCTCCTCTATCACTTTCTTCTCACTCTTCATCAGGTGTGAGAAACAGTTCTGTAGAGCCGAGGCTACAGTCTGGGAGTCGTGGTTCATGCTCTGCTTCAGCTGTGTCGCTGCAGTATCTCCAATCAGAAACTGGAACTCGGGCACTTCTGTAAGAAAGTCAGGCCCAGGGTCATTTCAGGAATGGCAACATGAAACTGGCAAAATGGAGAGTCCAATCCCTAACCTATCCCTGATCCAAGAAGCCAGGCACCACTAAAACTTTGCAATACAAACTGACTACTTACCACTAGCCCCAGGTGACCACACCTGAGCCTGTCCCACTGGTTTCAAGAATTGCACCACGAGGAGCCACTCAGTCCCTGTGACATTCAGCCTTTTTTCTCTGCCATCATAACCTACCCCCTAAACTTACCAGACCCAATACCCCATGTATTCAGCACTTTGCCCAACCTTACTGTTCAGAAAGGTCACAATCTCCTCAATAGGCCGGAAGCCACACAAGCCCTGGAAGGAGGTGAGGGCAATGGTCATCTCTGGCTTGTGGTTGGCATCTGGGTAGTGCTCTGGAGACTGGAGATGCAGCTTCTCTGCCAACTCCTGTGGGGTAGCCAGGGGAGAAGGATGGCCAGGGTGCAACATCACCTAGCAGGAACACGAGTCCTACCCAGCCCTGCTCACCACCCTGCCCAGTCACCAGATGGCAGTGACTTCCTGGCCCTGGCAACAAGCCCAGGCTTAGTGAAGGTGATAGCATGCATCTACTGACCTAAACAAAATGGAGTCAGTTTAGTCATTAGGTCTCAAAGTTAAAGCTCAGCAAAGCTAAAATGTTTAAAACGATTGTTGCCTGTTTGTTCCCTTTTCCCAAAAGTTAAAATGTGAAGAAGTTTATTGCTTTATTATTTCTTTTTCCAAAATGCTATCTTTAATGTTAAACTAGATTAAGTGCATATCCAAACATAATTTACCCTATATAGTATGCCTGCTCTTCACAATGGGCAGGACGGTCTTGAAAGCTATTCTCACCATCCTCCAGACTTCTGGCTTTCTGTTACTAAAGCTTGGATTGGATCTCTCTCCGGCTCTGGGACTGACTACAGTGACAGGTGGCAAACCCTCGTTTCGGTTTGGCAACAAAAGTAGGATGATGAAACTCAGGGTGTAGCCAACCTGGGGCAAAGAGAGCTGGGGCTGACTTTAAAAGTCCAGGCTGGAAAATCATAAAACACAGACACTAGGCCAAGCTCTGACACACCCGGTGTGACTTTGGGCAAATCTCTCCCTTCTCCCAGTCTTTGCCCCTCTAGAAATGAGAGGTTTAGATAGGTAATTACTTAGATGACTCAGGTTTAGAACAGGAAGACTCCACAGGAATAGGGCTGAGACAACAGCTAGGGTACTTGCACTGCTCTGGAAGGTGAACTCGCTGAAACAACTAGGTGGGAAGATGGCAGGTATTTCTGAACAAACCGGAACTGAGTAAGGATAGCCCAGAACAAACCAGCTAGAAATGGGCTTGGAGAAGTTCCCCAAGTACAGACTTGTCAGCTATTTGCTTAGACCCAGCTGCCTAGAATTTGTCACCCAGCATCTGGCCTTGCAGAACTAAATTGGGAGTTGTCAGATCTGGATTTAGCTTTGGGCTGGAGCCTGGCATGGGCGGGACAAAAGCAGCAGTAAAAGTCATGGGAGGGCCTTGACATAGGCCTTCTCAACCATGACCTCTGTGCCCTGCCACAGTCCTGTACCTTGTTAGGGTGTGCCTGGATGGAGAGGGCTGTTTCAACTGAGAGCACTTTGAAGAGGAAGGGCAGCTGGCCTTTAAAAGTATCCTTGACCTTTGACCCTAAACAGTCCTGATTCTCAGTGATCCACTGGCCTAGGGTCTTCTGGGAGACGCGGCGATCAATGATCTTGGCGTCCCCCCGGGGGTGGGTTCCCATCCACAGCTGGAAAGACAGAACATTTGGGAGGAAGGAAAAGGAATCAGTCACCATCAATCCCAGTGACCCCATTCTCTCTCTTCACAGGGCAGCTGAGTCCTAGGAGGCCCCCGGGAGCGGGTGTTCACGCTTACACGGTCACCAACTCACAAGAAGGCAGCAGACCCCATAGCATCAGGAGTCTGGAGAACCAGGCTCGAGTCCAGGCTCTGCCTTTCACCAGCTGTGGGGCCTTGAGCTAGTTATTTCCTTTCTCTGGGCCTCAGTTTCCTCCTGTGATGACACTTGAAACTGTTAAGGTCACTGAAGAGCAGTGACTTTCACACAGCTCTGGGAGGGGTTGATATTCGTTTATTCCAGTCTCAGAAACAGAGACTAAAGCCTTCTCATGCTTTGACTTTTTCTCTACTAAATAGGAAAGAAAAATATATACATATAAATAAAAACGCAAAACATAGTCAAAGTAAACATTTTACTTGGCCAAGAGTGTCCCCCAAGCTGGATTCAAATACAGCAAGTGCTTAGAGTTCTTGCCAGCAGGAGGAGACCAGGAATTCGGTGCCACCATCTGTGTCTATCAACCTGCACTGATCTGAAGAGTGGAGGGGTACCCACCTTGCTGCCCCTCCCAGCACATCCCCGTGATTTGCCTCAGACCCTTGAAGTGGAAGAGTCCCTTGGTCCCTGCCGCGGGTGTGGGCTGAAACCCAGTCCACGTCTCACCTCTGCGTAGGGCGTGTCCTCCGAGATCGTCACCAGTGGGTTGCTGCTGGCCAGCAGTCGTGCCACCATGCTGTTGGAGCCCACCTTGCCCCAGGCATACTGCTGCACCACACAGGCAAGTGGGAACACTGGGAACAGACACAGGGACATTCTCAACTGCACTCCTCGGCCTTATCCTAATGCTCTGGGGAGGAGATGAGGGTTTGGACTAGGCGCAAAGACGAATTGAAGGCTTGGAAACTGCAAGCCTCGACATTCCCATCTGTAAAACGGGCAGTAAGCTTCTTCTGCCGGCTGGTGGCAACAGCTGCCTTAAGGCGACCGAGAAAGCCGAGAAACCGTGAGTTACCGACCCCACGGCATCCCGTTTCGAAGAGAGCCACGCGCAGCCGGAGAGAGCGGATCCCCCCAACTCCCCTCGGGTTCTTCCCTCGGGGGTTGCACTAACGGCTCCATCCTCGTCGCAGGTGCTCCTTCTACTGCCTGGCACCCATTTATCTTTCAGCAGAAGCCCTACGGGGTGGGCTCGACCAGACAGATCAGGCTGGGAAGTATCCGCAGCACATGACACACCTCTGCGCTCGTCGGTACCCAGGCTGTCCGCTCACCTTTCAGAGCCGCCATCCTCTCAGTTCTCCACCGGCTTTCCCACACGTATGCTCTTCCCGACAGCACCCGCGGCCCTTCTGCGCCCAGAGCTTCACGGGAAATGTAGTTCTTGGAAGCTCGGAAGCTCAGCGCGACAACCTCAGACACCTGGCCAGGTGCTCTCACCCTCTGCCTATCAAGAGGAGTCCCCATCAACCCAGGGGCTTTCAGACCACAATCTTCTTAAAGTCTCAGTTCATCTCTTCATCTAACACAAGTTTATTGAGCACCTATTAAGGACTCCTGGTGTGGCACTGTAGGATAAGCACTGACTGCTAAACAAAAAGTCGGTGTTTCAAACACACCAACTGCTCCTCAGAAACTCTATACAGGGTCTCTGTGAGTGGAAACCTACTTGACAGCACTTAACGACAAGTACCAGTCACAGGTATAAAATCTGGAGATACATTGTTGTTGTTGTTAGAGACCAACAAAAAGCCGTGCCTTTTTAGAGATTCCATTGTAGGTGGGAAGGCAGGCAAACACCTAAAATAAATATAAGTAAATCAAGCAGTACATTGCTGTTGTATATGCCGTGGAGTCAGTTCTGATTCATAGCGACCCTGTACAGGGTTTCCGAGGCTGTAAATCTTTACAGGAGCAGAAAGCCTCATCTTTCTCCTGCCGAACAGCTGGTAGTTTTGAACTGCTGACTGTGAGGTTAGCAGCTGGATTCGTAACCAAAAGATGCAAAATATACGAAGAACAAAAAGTAAAGAGTCCTGAGAAGCAGTTCGCAGAATTTAAAGGTTGTTTAAGTCTCCACGAGGTAAGACTCAAGAACAGACTTGGAGTGAGGAATAAGCGAAGAATGTTTCAGGCACAGGATAATGGTTCTAAATTGGGAACATGGGAACTTGCCTGGCATGTACAAGGAATAAACAGCAAATAGCTGGAGCAGAGTGAAAAATGAGGGGGTCAAAGAGGACTTAAGGCTTTACTGTATCTCAGTCAGTAGAGGGTTTGAAGAAAGAACTGTTTATGATCCTGTTGTTGTTGTTAAGTGCCATGGAGTCAGTTCTGACCCATAGCAACCCTGTATAGGGTTTCCAAGGAGCAGCTGGTGAACTTGAACCGCTAACCTTGCAATTCAAACAACTTTGCAGTCTGGCACATTAACCACAGCGCCACACCAGGACTATCTCAGTCAGTAGAGGGTTTGAGGAAAGAACTGTTTATGATCTTGTTGTTGTTGTTGTTGTTGTTGTTAGCCATGGAGTCGGTTCCAACACATAGCGACCCTGTACAGGGTTTATTGTTAAATGCCATCTAGTTGATTCCAATTCATAGTGACCCTGTCTAGGGCTTCTGAGAGTGACTGATGGGTTTGAACCACTGCTCTTTCAGTAAGTAGTCCAGTGCTTATCCTACAATGCCACACCAAGAGTCCTATGACCTAAGTTGTTAAGTGCTGTCTTATCAGTTCTGACTTATAGTGACACTGTATAGGGTTTCTGAGGAGTGGCTGGTGGGTTTGAACCACCAACTTTGTGACTAGCAGTTCAGTGCTCATCCTACAGCAGCAGACCAGGACTCCATAATCTATCTAAGTTGTTGCTAAGTACTGTTAGCAACTGTTGCTAAGTTGAATCTGTTCTGACCCATAATGACCTTGTATGGGGTTTCCAAAAAGCAGCAGCTAGTGGATTTAAACTTCCAACCTTGCAGTTAACAGTTGGCAGTCCAGTGCTTATCCTATAGTGCCACACCAAGGCTCCACCACGATCCAAGTAGAAACTCATTAATGCTTGATGGCTCATTGCAAATATTATTTGCAAGGCCCTTAACCTCTCTAAGCTTAAGTCTTTTTTCTCTGTAAAATGGGGTCATAATGTCAACCTTGCAGTCTTGTTTGAGGGTTAAGTGGGATGATGTGGGGTGCCTGCAAACCAGTCTGTGCTCTCTGCTTCTCTAACCCTCTCTTGCCCTAAGTGCTGCAGTAGCTCAGAAGTTGGCCTGTCCTGCAGGCTGATCTGCTCACAGTAGCACACACAGAAGTCAGGAGAATCACCAGAAGCTCTGCAAGAGGAAGGCAGGCTGGGGCAGGGACTTGGCTATGAAGTAATCTTGTTCCATCCAATGGAGAAAGGCTCTCACATGCTGACCTGAGGCAGCAGCTGGAGAGGCCCAGGAGCACAGTGGCCAAAGCTTCAGGACATCTGGAATTAAGACCTGCAGTTCTGACTCTACCCCCAACCTTGAGCCTCCCACCAATTCCTCTAGCACGCTTGCCCAAGGGGAAAGAAAGGGCAATGTTTTCTCTGTAATGTTCTGCTCAGATGTGGACATCAACTTCCCCTGAGGTTCCTGGCTTAATAAATCAGTCTACATTTCAAAAGAAACTTCACCAGACATGAAGAGATAACAAAATGAAACATACAAGAATCATGCAAACTATACAATCTCCTATTTTGAATGTCAACTCCCCACCCCTCCACCCCCAACACC